AGAATGATCTTAAATATAGAAGAAATCGCATCAAAGCCGCAGACGCAGCGGCCAACGTCAATGCAAAGAGTAACACTCTCAAAACAAACTACCAAAGAGAAATCGCTGAAATGATAAAAGTGGCCTCTACTATTAGTGTTAAAATGAAGTTTTAACACTAATAGTAGAGACAATAAAAACTTGTTAACTAGCCTTAATTATTCAGCCATGCTGCTATATGGAGATTTTAACTTGAGTCACAGCTATTACGAATCAACAGATGCAAATAGTGCTACTGTAACTGTCGTACATTTACTTGGCAAACACTTTACTGACTTAAAGTTTCAGTCGTGCCTTAGCAAAAATTTTCTCACTCAAATGGTTACTTTCCAACATATCGAACAAATCGAAATTTACCACCAAAAAATACACTTGATCTCATTATCACGGACAATCGTGATCAAATCATTTATGTGTCAGAAGGAAATCCACTTGGGTTAATCCCAAGGAATTATAAGTTCTCTTGCCGTGACAAAACATTATAAAACCAGTTCAAATAAAACGAGATTAATATGGAGTAAAGCAAACTACGAAGCGATTTTAGTGAAAATCTCTGCATACAACTGGAAACCGATGTTTGAATGTTTTTCCGCAAACAACAATTACAAGCTTCTTGTCGCAAAATATTTTGAAGCGGTTAACAAATATATCCCCTCTACATTAGTATCTTTTGTTACTAAAAAGGCTCATTTGGTTATACCTGAGGTAATCGAAGCCAGCAAACTGAAACGGGTGTTTGGCAGAAATATTTAGCAGAAATATTGTCAGTGGGCAGACAAACTCACGTGTTTTTAGGAGAGCAACACAGGATTGTAAGCAAAAAAGTTATGAAGCTGGTTAAAATAGCTATACAAAATTATGAAAAAAAACTTGTCAGAGACTCAAGGTTTGACCAAAAGAAGTTACATGCACATATTCGCAGTAAACAACGTGTAAAAGATCTAATACGAACACTCAAAACAGCCAATGGTACGACAATAACGGATCCCCAAACAATATGTTCGACACAAAATAATTACTTTGAGTCAATCTTTGATATTAAACCGCTAGGTGACATGCCAGTGTTTGATAATCGTACAAATAAAGTATGTGGTTTTAATTAAAATGATATCACTCTTGATTAAGTGGAGGCGCAAGGCCGTGCTGTGGCATGGAGCAATGGAGCAACCGCTCCAGGCGCCTGAGCCACGAAGGCGCCTTTCAAATATTTCACGTTATTTCATTTACATCTAAGAATATTATTTTTCTAATATGTAAGCAATTCTTTATGTTTTTTCCTTTTTTTTTTTTACTGATAATAAAGTCTAGTGTAATAAATAATGATATTTTCATAACAAAAAGGCGCCTATTAGATATTTAGCTTTATTAATGTTTGTGTAATTAGCGAAAAAAGTTCGAACCTGACCGTTGAAATTTGGCGTAAAGTTCGAACGTTCGAACTTGAACATGTTCGAGCTAGCAGCCCTAGTTATAACAGTATACCTACAATTGTACTTGTAGTTTATATTAGGTTTTAACAAAATTAATTAAATCATAATAATTAAAACCATGTTTGGAAATAAAAAGAAAAAGTCTGGTTGGGAAAATTAAAAACAAATAGAAACAAAAGAAAATGAACTTGAGAAGCAAGCAAATTCTATATTGTCATTTGTTTAACAATTGTGCTCATCTAATATAAGCCATATAGCCTACAAGCAATTTTGATGAACCAACAATTAAAAAAAAGTGTTTCGATCAAAGTACAATCAACAGCATAAACGAATGCAATATGGATAAATTGTCAAAATTTGATGAATATTCCAAAGCCTCAACATCTAATTTAGAAGAGAGTTAGAAAGCTGCTATTTCAGATCTTGTCAAAGATCCTACAGAAGTATTTATCTCTACTGTAGATAGAGGCGAGCGTACAATTTGTAAAATATCAGAAGATCTCGAAGTTCCACTATTGACAGTGAATGAAGAGGACCTGGCGTATGAAGTGTCATCAGATACCGGTGAATGAAAGTTTATCACGGACAACAGGAGACAATTTTTGGTATAAAAAGGTCAGTGCAAATAGACAATTTTGCCTTTCTTGTAAACAACAAAGGTAGACAATTTTCACCTTCTTTACACAATCAAAAATTGCCAAACGGAGAAAATGTTGTGCGATCCTGGTTAATTTATTCACAATATCAAGATTCGGTATTTTGTTTTAGTTGTTTTAGTTGTTTTTTAAATTATTTTCTAAAAATCGCAATAACTGGGCTGTTAATGGTAGTTCCGATTGGGCACATTTATCACAGGATCTTAAGGATTAAAAAAATTAGCAGCCGTGGCGTAGTGGTCAGAGTTCTGGCTCAGAACTCAGAGGTCCGAGGTTCGATGCCAGCTCTAGCCTAACTAGCGATATTGGTAGGAATTTTTTATTGAATTTTTTTGAATTTATTGAAGGAGGCGTGAACTTCCTGTTAAATGCTCACCCGTGGTGCTATATGATAATGACTGTAAGGACTTCTGGGAGCACCTAAATACATACAAAAAAAAAAAAAAAAAGTCATGAATCATCGGGAATTCATTTTGATAGTATTTTTACGTGGAATGAGTTAAGGTTACGCTTAAAAACATTAAACACCACAGATGCTGCTCAACAACGCGCCCTTAATATTGAAAAAAAAAAAAGTGTCAAGAGATTCTTAAAAGAATAATTGCAATATTAAAATTTTTAGCTTCACAATCATTAGCAATACGTGATAAAATGTATAATAAAGGCAATTTTTATAAAATTATTTGAATTACTGGCTTTATTTGATCAAACGTCTGCAAATTATATAAAAACTATTACACAAAGGCAAACCAAAGTATATTATTTGAGTAATAATATTTAGAATGAGCTCATACAGATAATTTCAAAAAATATTAAAGAGTATATTGTTCAACAAATTAAAATTAGTAAACACTATTCAATAATAGTAGATTGCACCCCAGATCAGAGTCATGTTGAACAAATGTCCATTATTATAAGATTTTATTCCAGGACAAAAACAGGTTCGAAATTCGCGAGCGTTTTTTAGGATTCATTCCCGTAGTGGATGCTTCTGGTAAAGGCCTAATTGAAAAAATTCTTAAAGAACTAGAAGATAATCAAATTCCTATTGAAGATATGAGAGGCCAGTGGTACGATAATGTTGCGAATATGAAAGGAAAAAGATTGGGTGTTTAAAGCAGAATATTACAATTAAATCCACGTTCAGTTTTTGTTCTTTGTGCATGTCATTCCCTCAATTTATTTGTTAACGATGCAGCTTCTGCTTCAGGTAAAGTAGCTAGCTTTTTTCTTATTATTCAGCAAATTTATGTATTTTTATCGTCATCTTCTAGTCGGTGGGACATTTTAAAGCAGCATGGGAAAATTACCTTAAAACTAGTTTGTTCTACTAGATGGGAAAGTAGAATTTCTGCTATTATTCCATTGAGATTTTTAGTCAATATCCATTTAGATGAAATTCGGGACAATCAAACGAAACATCAAGCCCAGTCATTAGCAAAAAAAGCTTCTTGTTTTAAATTTATTTATAGCCTGATTGTGTGGTACGACATTTTTTCAAAAGTAAATATTGTATCAAAAATAATGCAGTCTCCAAATTTAAATTTGGAATTGCAATAATGTTTTGAAAGAAGTTTTGGTTTTTTAAAATAATTACCGTCAGGATGATCCCTTTGTAAAAGTTGTCGATGAAGCAAAGAAAGTAGCCGAAATTCTTATGATTGTTAGTAAATTCCCAGATGTTTCAACAATTCGAATTCGTAAAAAGAAAGGCCATTTTGATTACGAATCTAATGACCTGTCTGTTATAGATTCACAACAAAATTATAAATTCAACTTCTACTTCTACATTCTGGACACTGCAATTAAACCAATCGATAAAAGATTTGAACAGTTAAAATTACATGTAGAAAAATTTCAAATATTATACAATATTTATAAACTAAAATCCGAAAATAGAACAAATATGTTAAAAAATTGCATAAACTTACATTTATTATTAACAGAAAATGATAAAAGAGATATTGACGGTTTAGTACTTTGTGAAGAAATTATAAATTTATCTGCAGTGTTACCTTCTCAAATGGAACCACTAGAAATACTGAACTATTTGCACGAAAATAATATAACAACAATATTTCCAAATTTGTTCAACTGTCTACGTATTCTGTTAACTTTACCAGTATCAGTTGCTTCTGGGGAACGCAGCTTCTCGAAATTAAAAATAATTAAAAATTATTTAAGGTTGTCAATGAGTCAAGAGTACAATTTTGCTGAATTAAAAACGAGGCGAGTAAATTTTAAATTAAAATGCTCTTTCAAATAAGATAATTTTTTTTGCTTTTTGTCCTTAAATTATTGTTAAAGCTATCAAAATCGATTGACTTGTTACACTCTAAACCCGAATGGTTCTTTGAAGAAATTTTAAAGATTCTCAGCGCTTATGCCAATGGAGCACCCTTTTAGGTTCTTTAAAGAACCTTATAAATTGTTTCTTCGTAAGAACCCTCCATAAAAGTTTTTTAAAGAACTACTTAAGGATTTTCGAAGAACTCTGCTACGGGTGCTCTATTTGAGCACCCGTTGAGGTTTTTCAAAGAACTTTTCTTACAGTTTCGTATAACGTGCCTTTAAAATGTTATTTTTAATATTTTGTGCTAAAAGACAGACTACTTTATCGGCTAATTAATTCTCTGTAAAACCTTATTTAATTTGATAATTTAATAACTATATGTAAATTTTTTACTATACTTATTTTTTACGCAAACTACTTTTAATTTTAATTTACTCTGGTTTTTGTAGGAGATTTTAAAAAGAATAAAAATAAAAATAAATGCATTTCTATTGATTCTTTTTCCAATAACTATTTTATTTTATACAAACTATTTTATATATACAAAGCAAAACAACATTTAAAGAAATGTTTAGTGTTTAATAAAAAGTATAGCATAGGTAGTAAATCAATTTAATTTGTTATTCAAAGTATGAGCCATTCTAGTTATTGTCACTGGGCGTTCTTTAAATAACAATCCATAAACAATATGTTCATAAAACAATAACGCGTTTTTAATTGCAGGATATTGAATATTATATATATAATACGATGCAAAAACATACGACATCGCTAATGAAACGTCAACATCGCTGCAATGCTCTATAATAAAGTTATTATAGATCCATCCAAAATAACAAAACAATATTTTGTTATGAGCCTTTGTCTTTTTGGCATTTTGATAGTTGGCGTACTCTGCACGGGTTGTATGTCAAATGTAAATATGCATTCAATTGATTCTTTAAACAGCTTTGGTAATAAAATAATGGCTGCATTTAATGTGGCATCTGTAATGTAACAAATCATTTATAAAATATTATGCTAATGTAAAAATACAATAAACAAGACCTCTCAGAATTAGGTAGAAAAAAACTTATTATGTTGTTTAGATGGCATCAAGACACTCATGTCATTCAAGTATGTTAAAAAAAGTTTAGTAAAAAATTTGACACAATCAGCAAAAACTTGACATCCTCAAAAACAGATCGGCAGTTAAGTCCCTATTGCCGAATGCAGATCCTAATTCTAAGGGTTGTATAAGACATATGATTTCATGTGCAATTACTATTAGTAATTGAAATAAGGAGCGTTAAAATTTACTTTTACATTTTACTCATTACACATTTTATAAAATATTGTGACGCAAAAAAATGAAAATTACCTTTCTTCATTGAGTCATCAATTTCAGAAATTGCATTTACTATATCATCTTCATGCTTTGATTTTACTAGTTGCATAATTTTATCAGCCATTCCACCCATACATTGGTGGAGTTCTGTCAAGATTTTTGGCAAATCTTAATCTCATTTCATTAGAAACTTTAGAAAAAGAAATAAGTTAAAAAGGTAAATCATTTATTTCATAGATCTATTTATTAATTAGTTATATTTATTAATATCATAAAAAAAAATTCCCAATAAAAACAAAACAAATGAAGTTAGATATAAATGGGTTAGATATAAATCATCTAAGAGCATAAATCACTTTTACCATTCCTGTAACATTATTATCTAGTTGAAAAAGTGAGTTCAAGCAAATAATTGTTTACCCTATATACATAACACTTTTAAAAATTTTATATAATGTAAAAAGGTTACTTACGTCAGACTTCCAAAAATATTTTGAGATTAAATTTATTTCTAAAAGAGAAGAAAAATAAGTAATAATAATAACTTATAACTTTATAAGTAGTGTAATGCAGAGTTTTTATAGTAAAACATTATGATTGTAAAAACACTTAAAACAAACCAATCTAGCAATAGAAAGCCAAGGATAAGTACATTTTAAATTGACTGTACTCAAAACAAAACAAAAATTTGCACGAGTAGCACAAGTACGTTGCTGACGATCCAACAGGATGTTGATGTCTGGCCAGAGCTTATGGTATTCCATTTTCATGTCATAATGATGTTTTCCAATTAGAATCCAAAGCTGCATTTACTGAGGGAAATAAAATAGGTAGTTCGTAACGCACTGGCCATGGTTTCATACTTTACAACACCCCAGCAATCATACTACCATCTTTAACACAAGATAATGATGATGTTATTGATGCATTTAAAACATCATTTTCAAAAACACTAATTAACATAATATTTCTATTACTATGTACTCTAATTACATTTTATTTTTGTAAAAAACAAACAAACAGATATCTAATATGATCTACTAATATTTACTTTACTAATATTTACTAATATTTAATTTGATTACTAATATTTAATTTCTTTACTAATATTTACTAATATTTAATTTGATTACTAATATTTAATTTGATTACTAATATTTAATTTGATTACTAATATTTAACAGTGATATAAATCAGGTATAACTTAAAAAGTAATAAAAAAAATAGTTAAAAAGTAATATGTATGCTAAAATGAAAATTAGTTTACGAAGAGCTAATGCTCGCTTCTTGCTGAGCATGTGAAGTTTTAAGATAATTTATAACTTCAATGAGAACTACTTGTCTACGAATCGTCTGACATAAACTGACCACCATTGTCTCAGTTAAAGACACCAGTGTTTTTCCGTCAATTTCTTCCTCTTACAAAAATTAATAAAGGGTAAATTTTGAAATTTTAAATTAATTCAATAAAACAATTAATCATTTAGAGACGCAGCAGCTCTTGACAAAAATAACACAAAATAATTTGTATTTTATTTAAATCAATAAAAAGTAAAGCTAAATATTTGTATATATAATACATTTTGACAAGAAAAAAAAGTATTCTAACAATGCTATCAAACTACAATATTGTTGTTATAATAAAAATATAAAGAGATTTTATAAAAAACAACTGTATCTGAGTGTAATATAAGAGCACCCATACTGCAAAACATATCTAACAATTGGTGATCAAAAACATCTGTTTGTATGCAT